GTCTTGGCCGTTGATGGGATTACACGGCGCCAGGGGGCCAGGTGGTGGGTGTGACCCCCGCCTACTGGGTTCCAGGGCCGAGATCTCCAAGCCTACTCAGATTGGAGTCGAGCATCCTCCACCCAGATCCTCCAAATTATTTTTCTTAGTGAAGGAAAATGGTTTTTATTGTGTGTGTGTGTGTGTGTGTGTTGGAGAGAGAGAGAGAGGGAGAGAAAGAGAGAGAGAGTGTGTTCAAGAGAGAACATGGGCCTCTTCAAAGAGGGAAAAGAGAGTCCCTCCATTTAACATTTGGATGGGCTCTCTGGAGTGTAAAAAAAAAAAAAAAAAAAACCTAACACAGACTGGTCTGAGCGTATGTGAGGTCACAGGATTGACCTCTGAGAGAAGCTGCTATTCTATTCTCTTGGCTCAAATCACGCCAAGATAGAACTTTTGTATGGCTCAGGAACGAGGGTCTGAAGTTGGCCAGTACTGGTCAGCGGGGACTGCCCATCGGAGCCCTTCTCAACCTCGAGCCTCCTGGACCTTCATCACCATACTGAAAAAACACACCAAGGACACTTCTCCATTTTCTGTTATCTGCAGTATGTGTCCCTTGCATTTCCTCAATTGGGAGAGCTCACCATTCTCCCTCATGAATATGCATGAGATTCCCGAAAAACTACTAGAAAATGTGAAAGCTGTTATGTCATTCTAACTCTGCGAAAGACTGGAGCATTTCTTCAAGGACGGGTAAAGCTAAGAAGTCAATCTGAAGACTGTTCAAATGTTGACTGATTTTCACTATTATTTTTCTTTTGGCGCCAGACCTGGCTGAGCTCCGGGTTTACCCCTGGCTCTGCACTCAGGGATCATTTCTGGCAGGGCCTGGGGGACCATATGGACTGCCGGGGATCAAACCCAGGTCAGTCATGTGCAAGCCAAGTGTCCTACCCACTGTACTATCTCCCCAGCCGTGTGTGTGTGTGTGTGTGTGTGTGTGTGTATTTAAAACTATTTTTAAGGTAAAGGTAAAGGCCCTCCCATTGATCGTCGATTTGCTCGAGCGGGCCCAGTAACGTCTCCATTGGAGACTTTGTTGTTACTGTGTCTGGCATATCGAATACTCTCGGTAGCTTGCCGGGCTCTCCGAGAGGGGCGGAGGAATCGAACTCGGGTCGGCCATGTTGGCCGCTTGTAAGGCGAACGCCCTACCACTGTGCTATCGCTCCAGCCCAAAACTATTTTTAAAAGAGGAAATATCTAAGCAAAACAAAGTAAAGACATTGTGGTGGACACAACGGTATCAAGTAAATACATGAGAAAGGACGGTCACGGTCCTCCCGTTGTTCATCGATTTGCTCGAGCGGGCCCAGTAACATCTCCATCATGAGACTTGTTGTTACTGTGTTTGGCATATCGAGTACGATACATGAGAAAGGAAGACTAGCAATTTCCATCTATTCTCCAATTGGACAAAAAAAAAAGATCTTCCAATGGTCAAAAATCACAGTGGATATTCTCAGGAATGGCTGACTAAGAGAGAGTTCCAGCCATTCACACGCGTCTGCACCTCTGGGATTCGGATAAAAACCGGCCCGGTCCTGAAATAAGTCAGGGATATAACTGCAAAACTGGTTCCAGGATCACGACCATGATCATCCTGTTGTTCGTCGATTTCCTCGAGCAGGCACCAGTAACGTCTCCTTCTTCCTAGCCCTGAGATTTTAAAAGAGCCATTTAATTGCTCTTTCAGGATTAGGAGAATGAGACCCATCATTGTTACTGCTATCTGGCATATTGAGTATGACACAGGAAGTTTGCCAGACTCTGCCGTGTGGGCAGGATACTTTTGGTAGCCTGCCAGGTTCTCCAAAGAAAAAACAAGGTAATAAGATGTTGCGCGGCCACATCCGGGAGCTGGGTTTTCTAGTCTCTGCGTCTTGGCCGTTGATGGGACCAACCTGGTGCTGGCAGCAGCTGGTGGGTGTGACGCCTATCTACTGGAAGATGGAGGGTCTAGGTGGAGAAGGCCCAGTCCCAATCCGAGTAGGCTTGGAGACCTCAGCCCCGGGACCCACATGCCTGGGTTCCTCTGTCAGTTCTTTCATGCATGAGGCCCGTCCGGACGTGTGGAGAGTGGTCCAGCATGGCCGTGGCTGGCTCTGGAGGTCCTCAGCTGCTGGGGCTCTGCTCAGGGCTGGGGTGGGGGGAGAGAAACTCAACCCTCCCCCCTCCAAAGGGCCCCGGTGAGGACAGCCAGGCAGGGGGACAGGAGACTCTACGCTGTTCTCCCCTGGGAGCTGGGTTTTCTAGTCTCTGCGTCTTGGCCGTTGATGGGACCAACCTGGCGCTGGCGGCAGCTGGTGGGTGTGACGCCTACCTACTGGAAGATGGAGGGTCTAGGTTCCAGGAACAGGTGGAAAATCAGAGACCAGGTGAGGAGAAAAGACTAGAGAAGCAGCAAGCCCTGCTGTGTCCGAAGAGTCCCATGTACCATCAAAATCCGGCCACCTCTTCCTAGCTGTGCAACTCTGAAGGGAATTTATGAACCTGTCCGGGCCTCGACTTGCTGATTTATAAAACGGAAATAATGATATTTAACTGGCTGAGTGTTGTTAAAGGGTAAATGGGGATTATGCTCGTAAAATGACTAAGTGGCTGCTACGAACAGAGGACTCTCAGTCAACACATAGGTTATATGCCCTGTTGTTGAACCTCCCAAGTGGTGTTCAGGAGGCCTCAGGTCCTAGTGAAACTTGGGCAAGAGTTCCAGTGGTTCAGTGCTCAGGCCCAAGCAGGCGGTGCTGCCTGGAGTCTGTGATGCTCAGGGGTCCCCAGGGGTACACACAGCCCACACCTGAGAGGCCATGGGGTTCTGGGGAGCAAACACAGGCTGGTTTCCTCCCACACTATCTTCCCAGCCCCCTACATTATTTCCTAAAAGGCTGTACTGAGGAATCTGGATTCTATTAGTCTGACCTATTTTATTTATAATTTATGATTCACTCTTCACACACACACACACAATTGGGATTCTTACTAAAATAAATAAACACTGTGAGATCAGGCTGGAGAGAGTACAGTGGGCAGGGAATTTGCTCTGCACGCCTCGGCCTCTGACTCTGGTTTGATCTCTGGTACCCTCAGCCTGTCAGAAGCGATTTCTGAGTGCAGAGACTGGAAGATGAAACTTCCTTCAGAACCGGAGACTTGTACAGAGTCAGAGCCTGTGGTCACTGAAGAAAGACTATTTTTCCTTTTACTCAGGGAGGGATTTTCCTGAGGAGGAGTGACAAAACCCCCCGACCAGTGGGCAGTTCTTTGACTGACTCACATGAGTAAGCGAAAATGCACTGCGACTCTGCAATCTCTCACATGCTTCCAGAATTCTTCTCTCAAGGCAGCAAGAAAGCACTTGAAGAAGAGGTGGGAGGAAAGGATGGAAGTCAGTGGCTAGAACTCAGAGACCCAAGAAGACAGCATCTGAATGTGAGGAAGTGTTTTCGGCAGAAAGGGAAAAGGAAAACAAGACAAACCCAAAGGTCAACTCTTGACATCCGTACGTATTTTCTATTATTCCTACTAAAGACGTGTTGGTTGTTAAGCGAGGACTATGTTCATGATTAAAATGACAAATACGCTAAGATGGACTATTCTGAAAGAGAATTTTTTTTCCATCTTCCTTTATCTCCACATTACGTTCCAAGCAGCTGCAAACATCATTTCTGTCTAGAGGCTCACCCAGCTGGCTACAAGGTCGGGTCTGTGTCCTGCCTCCAGCTCCACAGTGTGACCTTGAGCAATTTGCATGACCTATCTGTGTGTCAGTTTCCACATCTCTGAAGGCAGCAATACTTCGTATGGTTTTTGTGAAGACCAGGAGGTTACGTGTAAGTGCTTGGAACAGAGTCTAGGCAAAACGCATTTTCCATCATCACTATCTCCTTAAAGTCTATGCAATCACATCACCAACCAGAGGTTGACAAAAACAACAACAACAAAATACAACAACCTTCATTACAAACAAAAGGAGACTGGAAATGTTTAATGGGCACAGAGAGGCCAGTCCCAGCCTCACTGTAGGATGATCAACAGCTACACTGGAATTTTACTCTGGGTGATAAAGCAAAAAACTGCATTTTGGGGGAGCTAGTGAGAAAACACACAGGTCAGAGCACTGGTCTTGCACATGGTCCACCCTGGTCTGGTTCTCAGAACTGCATATGGTCTCCTGAGCACTGCCAAGAGTGACCCTTGAATGCAGAGGTAGGATTAAGTCCTTAGTGCTACTAGGTGTGCCCTACCTCAAACTTTTTTTTTTTTAACTTTCTATCCAAGTGAGGTTTATATCAGATAATGAACTAAACATGCTACTTCCCCTTGTATTTATTGTTTTCGAATAGGTAGTACACAATATCAAATTCAAATAATTCAGGGTTTATAAGGTAATGAGAAATCCCTCTCCCTGAGGCTCCTCAGTGCTCTGTGTCAGAGGTAAGACTGTCACCTGGTCCTTGAATGATCTCAGCGCTTAGGACCAAAGACACACTGCAGCAGATAGGATGCTTGTTTTATACATAGCTGACCTGGGTTCAACCACTGGCTCCTGAGTCCTGCAGGAGTGACCCTTGAACACAGAGCCAGAGGAAAGGAAGGGAAGGGAACAGGGAAGGGAGGGGAGGGCAGAGAGTGGAGAGGGAGAGGAAGAGAGAGGAAAGGGGGAACAGAGAGGGAGGGGAAGGAAGGTGAAAGGAGAGGAGGGGAGGGGAAAGGAGGAAGAGGAGAGGACAAGAGGCGAGAGGGGAGGGGTAGAAGGGGAAGGGCGCGGGAAGGAGAGGAGAGGAGACACACAGCCGAGCACGTAGGCTAGAGTATTGGTGTCCCTGCTGGTGCAGGTGAGGCCTGCAGGACTTCCCTCACACACACCCGAGGTCAGCTCAGGGGCAGCCCCAGGGGATGGAGCGCCCAGGGTGGGTCTGAGGTTGTTGAGCTTGGTTCTCCGAACAGGAACTTACCCAGAGGTCAACGACTGTCTTGATGGCTTTTTCTTTTCTCTTTAGGAAGTCATCATCCTGCAAGACAAAACAAATCCTGTCTGCAGACTGGAAACTCAATGAGAATGCTCAGAAATCAGCCGTCTAAATGGACTTCTCAACACTGAGGGTGCTCTGTGGAAGAAGTCTCGGTTTTCTAACCGATCCAAATACAGCCAGCGTGGGCAAAAGCTGGGATTTCTTTGTGCCAAGAGATCCTGATGGCTGGCGAGAAAAGGGGAGCATAGAGTGCCATGGTGAAAACTGGTGTTCTCATTTCAAATCCTTAGGAACTCTCGCCTTGAAAATGCATCCTCACCTCTTTAAGCTTTAGCTTCTTCATTGGTTAAGGTGGAGACATCACCACCCTATTTTAGGGGCAGTCTAAGAATTACTAAGAACACCAAAAATGGGACCAGGGAAGTAATTCAGTGGCGGAGACATGCTTAGTGTCTATCAGGCCCTGAGTTGGATCCGTGGCATCACAGGCCACCTGACTACTACTAGAGATAGCCCTGGTGGTCCCCAACACTGCTGGGCTAAGTACTGAGCTGTCAGGTCCACATTTCCAGGACAAGCATTGCCAGGAGTGGCACCAGGGTCCTGCATCACCAGTGGAAGTGGTCCCTTAAAAAAAAAAAAAAACAGAAGAAACAAACAAACAAAAAAAACATATTTGTGGGGCTGGAGAGATAGCACAGCGGGTAGGGCGTTTGCCTTGCACACGGCTGACCCGGGTTCGATCCCCAGCATCCCATATGGTCCCCTGAGCACCGCCAGGAGTAACTCCTGAGTGTAGAGCCAGGAGTAACCCCTGTGCATCGCCAGGTGTGATCCAAAAAGGAAAAAAAAACATATTTGTGTGTGCATGTGAATATACACATATATTTACATACACACATATACTTACAGTGTTGCATTATTTTTTTAACTGGGGGTGGGGAAAGGGGTACCACCCGGTCTCCGCACTGAGGAATTACTCCTGTTGGTGCTTGGGGGACCATACAGGATCCCAGGGATTGAACCCAGGCCAGCTGCGTGCAAGGTAAGTGCCCAACCCACTGTACTATCCCTCCAGTCCCCAAAGTCTTACTGTCATTTAATTACAATTCTAGATTTCCAAAACTGAGAGAAAAAAAATTTAATTGCAGCCCATTTAAAGGGGTAGCTATGAGCTGCAACAAGCCTGGAGGTCCAGTTTCCGTGTTGACCAGGGACAGGTCAGAGATGTTAAGAGAGTATACTGGGAGTATACGAATCGGTGGTTGTACGCTGCTCCTTCTCTCCTCTCCTGCTGGGGAACCCAAGAGTGGACTCTTGGTTGGAAAACAAGAGAAAAGCAGAACACTGACCTCAGGAAGACTGTAGGTTTTCTGGAACTGGGATATGGAATACGAGCGGATATAGTCGCCCATCTCTTCTTTCGTTTCTATAGCTCTCTTTACCAGCCACTAAGGAAGAAAGACAGAAAATACGGGTTAACAGGAGTGACACATCATCGTGTGAAGGCCAACTCAAAGTTGACACAACTTGTCAGTCCAAGTCACCAAAACTGAGCCTACCAGTGATGAGAAACTATCAACACATACTCTCCGTGGGAACGACAACCAGCTAGGAGGCTTGAGATGCGAGGGGCCAGTGGGACCTCGATCTGAGCCACTGGGCTGAAGCTTTAAAGCCTCCCTCCGGATTCTCAGGCCTCAGTTCCCTCTCTCTGTAAAATGGAAGCAAGATTATCAATTCCTTTCACCTCACCCATGAAACCACAAATACGAGAATGCTTTCCATACCTCTTAATACGAGCATAACACAAACATAGCCTTTCCCCCATAAACACCTGATTCTACTAGCAAATCTTTTTTGTTTTGTTTGCGGTAGGGGAGGTTCTGGGGACTACTTCCAGGTCTGAGTTCAGGGGTTCTTCCCAGTGGTGCTCAGGGGACCATGCTCTTCTGGGGCTTGAACCCAGCCCTTCGCTCCATATAAGCATGCACTCAGCCTTTTGACCTATCTGTCCTCCACTAGCAAATAATAATCAGAGTCCGGCAAGCTACCGAGAGTATCTTGCCCACACGGCAGAGCCTGGCAAGCCACCCGTGATGTATTCGATATGCCAAACACAGTAAGAACAGTAATGTAATTATTTAAAAAAATTTTTGGAGGTAATATAATGTAATATAGGTCCCAGATATTATATTTGATTCCTGTATCTACTACATTAGGATCACCACTGAAAGTCTAGCTTTGATCTCTACCACACGAATGATCCTTTTACGAACACTTTAGAATCTTACCTCCCACACTTTTCTGCTCTGGAAATCAACATTTTGTTGACATAATCTAAGAGTCTATTTTTTTTTTTAAGTTTGCTGTTCTCTTTTTGCACTGTGCCTCGAGACAGGATCCAAAGAGGAATTTAAAATTTTCTCTTTTATGGAGTTTTATGGAGACTTACTTTGTCCTCCTGGGCAAGCCTCTTACAGCATGACATCAGCCTTAAAAGGGCACAGGAAAGGGTGCAAAAGTCTGTACTCATTTGATTTTTTTATTTTCCCCTTGGGTGAATACAGAATTTGTCTCTCTCTGTTCGACTTATTTCACTGAGTATAATGCCCACCACACCCAGCCATGCTCCTACAAATGGGAAGATCTTACAAGTAGTCATGTTTCACTCGACAATGTTATGGGTAACAATGACCACCTACAATGGTCAGTAATTCCAACCAGGCTACACCATTCAGCCTAGGTATAGTTACTGCATAGTAGGCAATAACAACTAGACCTGTGTGTAACTATATTCTGTGATGTTCATACAAAGATGAAACTATTTAAAGGTGCCCCCGTGCCTGACTGTTCTTGCCGCCAGGGCCCCTTGGAGGGGAGCGGGTTGAGCTTTCCTCCCCGCCCCGACCAGGGCTCCGGCAGCCAAAGACCTCGAGGACCAGCCACCACCATGCTGAGACCACTCTCTGCACACATGAAGGTACTGGCAGAGGGACAAAGTCACGCGGGTTCCGGGGCCGAGATCTCCAAGCCTACTCGGATTTGGGCCGAGCATCCTCCACCCAGATCCTCCAAATTCCAGTAGGCGGGGGTCACACCCACCACCTGGCCCCCTGGCGCCGTGTAATCCCATCAGTGACCAAGACTCAGAGACTATAAAATCCAGGTCCTGGAATCGTGTGGCCACATTCGTAGCCGCGTGACATCTTATCAGGACATCTTTTTATGATATCTTATTATCTCATTCCTACTTTGGACAAACTGGCAGGCTACCGAATGTAGCCTGCCCACACGGCAGAGTCTGGCAAACTCCCCGTGGCGTACCCAATATGCCAAATACCAGTAACAATGATGGGTCTCATTCTCCTAAAGAGCCTTGAATATAATCTCAGGGCTAGGATGAAGGAGATGTTACTGGGGCCTGCTCGATGCAATCGACGATTAACAGGATGATTTGCGACTGTGATTTGTCACAGAATGCATCCCTGTCATTAAGCAATACATAGTTATATATACATACATTGCATGTAATGTGGTGTGTGTGTGTGTGTGTGTGTACAGAGAGAGAGAAAAAAATATATATCTCACAGTTTTATCCATTCATCTATTAAGTGAACAATTAGACTGGTTGCAAATCTTTTATGTTGAAAATAACGGCAATGAACACTGGGGTACAAATTCTACTTGAATAAAAGCTTTTGTAGCCTTCAAATAAATAGGCTGAAGTGGAACTGCTAGACCATAAGGTATTTCTAGACTAAATTTAAAAATAGTTTTCATACTATTTCCTTTTATAGCCACACAAATTTAATTGTAAGCTGTAATTTGATCTCCTACACAGCTTTCATCACATTTTAAAGGGGAGAGAACTACAGAGAACACCTAGTGTAAGACCTCATAGACAGCAAAACCCTCTGAATTCAGACTCAAGAACTGAATGTACCGGTAAACAGTCTGAGGCTTCAAGTTCGCATGACATGTTTTCTCTCATAACAAGGACAAGCTTACGAAATAATTTGTATTGACCTTGTTTTACAGAAGCTGGAACTCACAAGTACATTATTTGCCCAGAGATCTATTGCTAGCGAGGCAAGAATAATCTGTGTCACAACTTTTTTCTGTACCAGCAGGGCACTGGTCAAATAGGTTTTAGAGGATGTTTCTCAGCTCCCTCACTTGATCACTTGACATCCTGTCACTCAATAGATTTGCTCGAGCAGGCACCAGTAATGTCTCCATTCATCCTGTCACATGGTAGTGCAGCGCAATGGTGTCTGCTCACTCCAGGAACAAGGAGAGCCTCAAACCGTTTGTATAGGATCTCGACAAAGAAGTCTGACCATCTTGTAGGTGGGTGGCCACACATTCTTTCTACATCCCGTGGAATCCAGCTGGTAAAGGCTCTAGTCCAGCAGTTGTCTTCGAATCACATTACATGTCCAGCCCATCTGATTTTTGACACCTTGGCAAACGAGACAGCGTCCCTGATTCTCGATCGTCAAAGGAGGTTGGAACTCTGGATTCTTTCTCTCACTTGAGTGAAGCGTGATACTCCAAGTATAGCTCTTTCAATTCCTCTTTGGGAGATCCGAATAGCGTTCTCATCCTGTTTTAGTAGGGCCCAGGTCTCTGAGGTGTATGTTAGTACAGGAAGAATGGTGGAGTCGAAGAGATGTGCCCAGAGCTGGAGGTTCTTCGTCCTCCTAGCTATTTCTTTGATGCTCTTGAAGGTGTTCCATGCCACTCCCTTCCTCCTGCACAACTCAGGTGCCAGGTTGTTTGTTGTGTTGAGTTCTCGACCTAGGTACACGTAACTGCTGCATTCGGAGATGAATGCTCTGTTGAGAGCAAATGGAACACCAGGAACTAGTCTACTTTTCATGAACACTGTCTTTGTGAGATTCAGCTGCAGTCCAACCTTTCCACACTCACGGTCAAAATTGGCCAGCATTTGTGCCACTTGGCTAATGTTTGGTGTTATTAGAATGATGTCATCAGTGATGCGGAGGTGGTGTAGTTGCTGACCATCTATCTTCACTCCCATTCCTTCCCATTCCAGTTGTTGCATGACGTTCTCGAGGTGGCACTGAAGAGTTTCGGTGAAATGGTATCGCTCTGCTGAACCCCTCTCTTTACACAGATGATCACTTCCTTGTAGAATGGTGAGAACCTGGTAGTGAATCTGTAATACAGTTCACGGAGGATCCTGATGTACTGAGTTTGAACGCCCTGCCTGGCTAGGGCTTTGAGGACTGCTTCAGTCTCAACAGAATCAATTCTTTAAATCGATGAATGTTAGACAGAGCGGTATCTTGAAATCCCGAGAAACCTCAATGAGCTTGGTCACCGTGTGGATATGTTTGATCGTGCTGAATCCTTTGCAGAACCCAGCTTGCTCACATGGTTGTCCTTCATCTAGTGTTCTGCCAATCTTATTCAGGATGACTCGAGTGAACAGCTTGCACATGACGGACAACAGGCAGATACGGCAATAGTTGCCAATATTGTGGATGTCTCCTTCTTGTACAGTAGAACGGTCCTGCTGGTTTTCCATTGAGACAGAACCCTGCATTCAGAACAGGTAGCGTGTGAAGAGCCAAGCCAGTGTATTGATGAGTACTGACGGCAGAATCTTCAGGTGTTCGGGTCTGACCTTGTCTGGGCCGGGAGCTGTTTGATTCTTTACCAATGAAACGGCGTGTCAGATTTCGGAAGAGAGAAATGACATGTCCTTTCTGCAGAATTTGGTATGTGGGCAGGTGGACGTGGCTATCGAAGAGATCTGAGTAGAAGTCATGGATAATCTTCTCCATTGCCCTTCTGGAAGATGTGATAGATCCATCAGGATGTCGGAGGGCAGTCATCTTGGTCTTGTTATTGGTGAAGGACAGGTGGGTGTTGCGAATACTTTCCCCAGCTTCTGCCGCATCTGCCAGCACTGCTGCTCTTCTCTCTTTGAGGTGTCCCTTTATTGTTTCTCTGCACTGCTTTGCGACCTCGAACAGGACATTAGCTTGTGGTTGCCTGAGGCTCGCGCCAAGCCACACTGGCCAATGAGCTTGAGAGTTCCTGAACACAGACGTCTTTTTGTGGCTTTCTCTCTCTCTCTCTCGGCATTCCTCGCACAATGGAGGTGCTGAACCAGTCGACTGTATTCTTCGTCAGTGTTGTCAACGATGGCATCTTCCCATGCTGCCGCAATAATGCCAAAGAGCTCCCAGTTGGTGGTCATTCTGGGAGTTCTCTTCTTAAACTTTGCAGTCCCTTCTCTCCACTCTGTGAAGTAGAATTTTGCACGAAGGAGATGGTGGTCCAATCCCATTTGGAATTTTGGGACAACAGTGACTTTGGTCAGGTGGTGACTGAATATGATGTGGTCAATTTCATGGTGGAACTGTCCACTGGAAGACTCCCATGTCCAACATTTAGATTCAGCCTTCTGGAACTGTGAGTTAAGATGGATGGTCTTGGTCAACATGATGAACTCAGACAGTCTCTCATCCTGTTCATTCCATTCTAGGTCATGAGTCCCAATACGGATTTCTTTGGGCGATCTTCTCAGTTCTATCTTGGCATTAAAATCACCCTCTTGGAGAGCCCGGCAAGCTACCAAGAGTATCTCAGCTCTATAGGGCTGATAATATGTAGAAGTAGCTGATCTTCATTTGCGATTACTTGAAACTCTGATCAGTGAGATGATGGACAGAGAGAAATGCACCCTGCAGCCTTGTGAAAGTTTCAAAAGCTCAGAAAGCAAAGTACAAAAAGAATATTCATTTCTCCTCCCTGACTTTTCATTCATTCCCTTTATGCCTGAGAAACATGATGGAAGGGGATGCCACTGCTTAGGGCTGAGACTGTCTCTCCAGAGGAAGCTACCCCAGTTCAAATGCAGATGGGGGACAGTCACTTGGCTTCCCTGAGAGCACTGCCATACTTGGCAGAACACAGCTACATAGAAAAGCGAACACATGGCACATAGCAGGGTGTCCACTCAGTGACACAAATAAATGCTTTCCCTGGAGGGCATCACGCTTGGGTAAAGATGTGTTTAGAACGTAGCTGTCGAGAATAAAGGTGGCTGCAAATATAAGCTGCAGAATATTCTGGTTTTTTTTATTTTATTTTTTTTTTATTTTCTTCGGGAGCTGTGGATCCCGCCCTCCATGTGGTCCTTCTCTTCGGCTGTATGCTGTAAAGATCAGAATATTCTCCTGTTGTGAGTATCTTTCATTCATTATCGTAATACCTTGCCACATCACTTCCAAACAATGATCTCAGGCACTCATTAAAATCCAGAAATAGCAAAAAATAAATAAATAATAATAATAATAATACAACCCAGAAACAGGGGAAGACAGTCAGACAGCAATTCCAAGAGTACTTGCTCCTCCCTGCATTTCACCCACCACCACTTCCCAGGGTAACTAAGGAGGCTGGCATGCTTCTCAATTCAATTTATTGACAGTCTCCTTTGGATCAGCAGATCTAGCTTCCAGTCTTCCACACTGTTCGCTTTCTCACTTACGCCTGTGTTAACAGTATTCACACTGAGAGATGCCTGGGCTGATCCTGAAGGGTGTGATTTGCAAAGTGACTTCTGCTCAGTCACTGGATTCTCTGAGAGAACTATTGGGGAGTTACCAGCATGAAGGCTGGGAGAGATTGCCACAGGTCTCTAACATTCAAGAAAAACATCTACCTTCCCCAAGTCACGTGTCAGGCATGAGAGAAAAAGCTGTGACCGCGATCTAACAGGGAAGGGAAGTGAGATTCATTTGTCTCTTGGCTGGCACTCAGACACCAGTGCTGACACTCTGCATGAGGGTGCGGATGGAAGCGGCCAGCAAGGGGAATTCACAAGTTCCTAACTGAGCCCATGATTTTTCTTTCACTGATTTCCAGAGAAACAGGAAAAGGCTGTGGGCAGGCTGAGATGTACTCAATTTGAAGAACTTCCCTTTATGTTAAGATGGGGGGCTGGACACCAGTTCTTTCAGGAACACACAGAGAAAGCATGATAGTAGTTCCCGTTTTTTTTTCTTTTTTCCTCTTTTTTTTCCTTCTATAGGGGTCATACTGAGAATGCTTGGGAGCTGTCAGGGTCCAGTCTGGTGGTGTTGGGTGGGGGCCCTGTGGTTACAAGGGATCAAATTCCGGGTCATGTGCTTTCCCACTTAAGAGCAATATTCCCTGCCCAGTAGTTTCCTTTTAAAACATCAATGCCTGGGGTCCAGAGTGAATGCATAGCGGGTGGAGCGTTTGCCTTGCACTCATGGCAGACCTGGGTTTGATCCTCGGCATCCCATATGGTCCCCTGAGCACCACCAGGAGTAATTCCTTAGTGCAGAGTCAGGAGTAACCCCTGAGCACTGCCGGGTATGACCCAAAAAGCAATAAATAAATAAATCATCAATGCCTGGGGTGGGCAAAACAAAAGAGACCAACTGTAGGTCGGCTTCCATTTTTGTTTTTAATTTTTACAGGTCCAAGAAACTAAGAAATCTGGGCTGGAGCAGGTAGGGTGTATGCTTTGATCCCTGGCATCCCATATGGTTCCCGAGCACAGCCAGGAGTATTCCTGAGTGCAGAGCCAGGAGTAACCCCTGACCCAGTGTGACCCACAAAGATTAAAAAAAGAGAGAGAGAGAGAGAGAGAGAAAATAAGAAATCTGATAAACACTACTCCATACTCTCACAAATGAACAGGACACCCTACTGCATTCCATTCATAACAGGAAATGTCACAGACAGTCAAAATGTCTCAATGAACTACACAGAGTTTCTCTTCCCTTTCATCGCCTTTGTACAAGTGAACTAGATGCTTGCCCGAAAGTTCTAGCAAGAGGTGAAGTGAGGTCTAATTACCAGAGACCCAGGCCTGGGGTGAGGGGAGGATGTAATTGCACAGTGTGACAGTATACAGGTTTCTATAATAATCAGGACAGCCTCCCACTTCACACTGTGACATAAAAAAAAGATCTGATGTCATCCACCCTCCCACCATGCACCACATCAGAGAGTCTAACAACCACAGAAACCGTTTATAAATTTCATTTATAAATTTATAAGTTCCATGGTACACAATTCAAAGGTCTTGCCCAGGAGTAGATTACCAGTTTCAGTGATGAGAAAAACAGACACATGGATATAAAGAGAATTTAATAAAATGTGCCAATGCTTCAACTAAGTAACACACCAATTTAATTTTCATTTGATCTGGCATATGCTTTTACTTATCATCATTATTATTATTATGAGTTTGGGGCCACACCTATCAGTGCTCAAGAGTTGCCTTGGTGGTGCTCTGGGGACCATGTGGTGTGAGGAATCAGACCCAGGCTTCCAGCATGCAGAGCAATGCACTCCATCCACTCAACTGGCTCTCCAAGCTGGTACTACTACTTGAGAAGTTATTTGTGCAACATCACACAATACACACAGTTGAAAGACTTCCAGAAAGACTCTAGGGCTTCTGCTTTTAACTCCCACACTAGGTACTTGTAACCCAGAAGAGCGGTTCAAACCTTCTTCTTGGGGGCTGCATAAATGGTGGAAAAAAGTGCAAAGCTGGTGAATTTAGAGTGGAATTTCTGCTTCCCCCTCGCTAGCTCTCCACTCTGACAAACCAATACCCTCTGAATTTCGCTTTCCTCGGAGCTAAGACTGAGATTAGAACAGGTGCTTTGAAGAAGTCTATTGGAAAATTCAATGAAAAGTGCTGCAGAGCAGGCAACACACGTGGGTACCTGGGCTCTTCTTTCCAAGAGGAGAGGAGGGAGGGAAGCTCCTGGAGAAGAGGCTCAGAATACAGAAAATCATAACGCAAGAGTCTCTTAATCACAGACCCCTTGGGGAGCGGGAACTGGGGGTAGGGTGGGGGGCTGAGGTGGCACTACAGCTCTCCCGGTAGATATCTAGTCATCCAATAAGACCCGGATCTTAAACACTCTGGAAGATGCTGGAAGGAAGCCACAGGACCAGCTTCATGGCTTTTATAGTCAGACAGAAGAGGCTGATGATAAGCCACACAACTGGAAAATCGAGGGCTATAATCTGAAGGAAGATTCCCGGTAAGTAAGTAGAACCCAAGCAGCCAAAAACCCTCCAGAACCCAGACACAGCTATGTTCCAAGCCACTCTCCACACACTCGGACAAGGCTCACCCATGAATGAATGAACCGTCAGAGGAACCCAGGTATGCGGGACCCGAGGTTGAGATCTCCAAGCTCCAAGCCTGCTCGGGTCAGGACTGGGCCTCCTCCACCCAGACCCCCAGTTTTCCAGTAGCTTGGCAGCCTTTACAATATGCTCCCGGCGCCATGTAATCTCATCAAAGGCCAAGATCCAGAGACTATAAAACAAAGCTCCCGGAAGAGAGCAACACAGTTTTTCCTGGAACAACCTCTTATACTCTTGCCCACTGATGTACCTCCTCTTGGAGAGCCCGGCAAGCTACTGAGAGTATCCCACCCGCGCGGCAGAGCCTGGAAAGCTACCCATAGCGTATTCGATATGCCAACAACAGTAACAACAATGGGCTTCATTCTCTGACCCTGAAGGAACCCCCAGTATGCCACTGGGCTACGCTAACACGCAACAGGGACGGATGGAGTTGTTACTGGCACACGCTAGAGCATATTGATGATCAATGGAATAACAAGTGACAAGGAAGATTCCAATGTAGGAAGGGACACGGTCATCTGAGTAGAAACCATAAGAAGCCTGTTTCCAAATAAGGGAGGGTTAGAGGCAGCGTTCTCAAGAAGGTTTAAAGATAGATGTGAAACAAGCAGATGTAATTTAAAAAAAAAAAGGGGGGGGGGGAAGCTCCAGTCTGTAGGAATGGCTCCAGGATAAGAAGTAACATAAGTATGAGGGGCAAACGCCCTACCACTGTGCTATCGCTCCAGCCCTGGGCGATAGCACAGCGGTAGGGTGTTTGCCTTGCACGCAGCCAACATGGCCCACCCGAGTTCGATTCCTCCGCCCCTCTCGGAGAGCCCGGCAAGCTACCGAGAGTATCTCGCCCGCACGGCAGAGCCTGGCAAGCTCCCCGTGACGTATTCGATATGCCAGACACAGTAACAACAAAGTCTCCAGTGGAGACGTTACTGGGCCCGCTCGAGCAAATCGATGATCAATGGGAGGGCCTTACTTACTTACTTTAAGTATGAGGGGAGTTTAAATGGTCGATACATATAAAATGAGGCTGACTAACCAGGAAGGCAGGGAGGCTATGGAGTTCCATTTTACTAAAAGAGCAACAGAAATCAAGTAATGGGAACATTTCAAAAGGCACAATTGGTGATGGCAGGAAAGACACGAGATACAGACCAGGTAACTATTTGGGGTTGTTGGTTTTGGTTTTGGGGCCATCCCTGGCTATGTTCAGGACCTTACGACTAGCTCTGCACTCAGGGATCCCTTGTGGCAGGACTTGAGGATTGAGGGACCAAACTGGGTGCTGAGGATGGAACCTGGGTCACGCGCTGTACCACCACTTCCGTTTCTTGCCCGTACCAGTAATTTTTTTGAGGACAGCATCAGAAAATGGAATCTTGTTCTGCTGCCCCCCTCCTCCACCCCACATTCCACACCATACCCTTCAGAAGCAGGATCTAGGCTAGGAGGCACACGAGCTCATCAGACCTGTGACAGGAGACACCACGTGGAGGCTCTCACCTGGATAACAGGAAATATGTGTATGAAATCCATGCCCTGGATCTGGTGGGGCTCCAGCTGGTGCGGGCACTTCATCCTTGGCAGGACTGAGACGATTTTTTCTGACAAAGCTCTGTTTGGGAGAGGGAAAAAGAAACCAAGAGTGAGAAAATGCTAAGTGGTTCCTAAGGTTCCCCTGAGCCCGGTGCTTCTTTCAACTATCACAGGCCCAGCTCCCTGACCAAGTTTCTCCCAGCTGCCTTATGAAAAGAGAAGAAGAAGCAGGATCCAGAGCTGTGTGCACGTGCAAGGCCGCAAAAGTGACTTCATTTCCTTTATTTTGACGGTCTTTATATGTTGCTAGTTCCAGGTTGTAGTTCTTATTATGTTTAACATCTTCACAGGGTAGAATGAAAGGGATCTGTGCTCCAAATCCATTTCCATTTCACCAACCTACTTTTCATCAAAGTTTGAGAATCACTAAGTTATAAATTTAAAAAAAATTTACAAATTGTTCTAAAGATCATTTAAGCAACAAATAATTACCAAATATTATGCAGAATACTAAGACAAAACATTGACCTCCTCTCAAAAGAACAAATTGGAGTCCTCTATTCTGGTTCAAAAGCAGTTCTTCTTGCTGGAGAGTATCAGGCTGAATAAAGTGAGTCAGAAGGAGAGGGACAGACACAGAATGATCTCTCTCTTATGTGGGATATAAAGAAGCCTAGGAAGGAAACAACAAATGCCCAAAGGGAAGAGAAACTGAGAACTGATCTTTAATAGGAAAGGCATCACTATGGGGGGGGGGGGGGGTGCGTGTCAGGAGTAAGGAGGAAACTGGACACTCCCTCCACATGGTAGAGGAAAATGGGCACTCTGGTGGTGGAGGGTGTGCTGCTTGGAATGTTTTATGCATAAAACCATGCCATCATTATTGCAAATCATGGTGCCTAAAATAACACTGAAGAAGAAAAGAAAGTAACCCCCTTTAAAAGATACTTTGGGAGGCTAGAGAGACAGTCTGATAAGGCTCTTGCCTTGCATATAGTTGATGTGGATTTGATCCCCAGCACCTCGTGTGGTCCCCCATGCCCTACCAGGAGTGAGTCCTGAGTGCAGAGCCCGGAGGAAGCCCTGAGACTCACCAAAATAGCAAACAAAAAATTTTCAACTGTTGATAACATTCTATTATTTGGGAAACAGAGTTGAACACCTCCGTGAACGTACAGAGGGTTGATTGCAGCCACCAACAAAGTTAGTGCCACCCACACAATGAAGACTTTTCAGCCCACTCCTCTCCACTGCCCACCCTTACCAGCTGTTAAAAATGAGTTTTTGCCACAGCTACGAGTTACACTTTAATGTTTGTTTTCGTCTTTCTGCCAACTCATTTGCTTTAGATATTTATGCATGCAAGTAAAACCATCAGGTAATTTGTCTTTCACTTATTTCACTTAGCATAATCACCTCAAGTTCCATTTACTTTGTCCCAGATGGCACAATTTTGCCTTTCGAAATGGCGCAGTATTCCACTGAATATAGATACCCCAGTTTCTTCTGTTGCTGGGCTTTCACGTTGATTCCACGTTTGGGCTACTGTGAATAATGCTGCTAATAACTGTGGGGTATAAATATCCTTCAGAATTACTGTTTCTGAGCCTTCAGATAAATGCCTGGGAGTGGTTATCACTGGAACAGATAGAATTTCTCTGCATTTTGAAAAGTAATCTCCAGGCATCGAGATGGCACTAATTTACATTCAAATAACAAGGTAGCAAGTTTTTCTTTTTCTACACACTCACAACAAGTAGTACTTCCAATCTTTCTGAGACAGACCTTCCCAGAGATCTGAGGAGAGATCGCATTGTGGTTGACTTGCACTTTCCTAAGAACCAGCGATGCTGGGGCTTTCTCCTGACTTTGCACTCAAGGATCATTTCTGGTGATGCTCAAGGGACCAAATACAGCGACAGGGTCAGCTGTGTGCAAAGCAAGAACTTTAGCCCTGTACTAGCGCTGGTCCCATTTCTTCTCTCTAAAATGGATCAGATTCAAGAGAAGATAGATAAAAGAGCTTATGCAATGGGCCTGATAAACCCAAAGTGATGGTTTGTATATCAGCAACGATAAGAAACGACCCTCTGGGGCCACACTGAGAAAGAACAGCTGGCTAAGTCTACAAGAGCACTTCGACGGCAGCCTCATGCTGCTGGCAGGTCCCACTAGAGGTCTGAAACTGAGCAAAGTTGGGGTCTATCACAAGTGCTCCCTTTCAAAGACATCTATCCATTTTATTAATACTCTTTCCTAGGAACTTGATGCCCTTAAGACCAATATCTAATTCAGGCATGGGTGAGAACTATTACTGTCTTATCTGTTTTCCTACATAGGTTTCACTCCTGCAGTCTTAGTGGGAACAACGTAACCTAGAGACAAATGGTCTAAACTGATCCCCAAGAAATGGTCTCCAGAGAAGACTACAAATTTCTGCGACACGCAGACAGAACTTTACAAGGTGGGGACAAGGTTAAAAATGCTTGAGTGAATAATCACATCCCCAGCTCCACTGATCAGATGTCAGATACCAAGCCCAACAGGTTAAGACAAAAACACAGTGAAGGGGAAGACTGGTGCCCAGGGCACCCATGTGTGTACAAGGAAGGACCATTCACATCTCAGGAGGGAAGGACACGCAACTTTTCTCCTTAACAGAGGACACGGTGGGTGACAGATGTGTAAGGTCTAAGAGGTAGAAGGAAACTCTTTTGGTGTCTCTCAAAACTCCTGCGGTCCTTTCTTCCCCTTTCTGAGCAGCCTTCAGGATCCGTGTCTCTTCTTTTTGATTTTGGGGACATACCCAGCGGTGCTCAGGAGTTACTCCTAGCTTTTCACTCAGGGATCACTCCTGGTGGGCTTAGGGGACCGTATGTGATGCTAGGGATCGAACCCAGGTCATTTGCATTCGAGGCATATGCCTTACCAGCTGAACTATCACTCTCGCCCCAAATTTTATTTTGATTTCTTTTGATTTGGAAGGGACACGGGCAAAACTCTGAGGTTACAGCTGACTGTGCACTCAGGATTCATTTCTGGTGGTGCTTGTGGACCATATGGAATGCCGGAGATTGAACCTGGGTCAGCTACAAGCAAGGCCAGTGCCTTATCCCTGTATCTCACTATACTATCTCCCAGCCTAGGACACATGTCATTTCTGCCACGAGAGGCATACCCGCTGCACTGGGGAAACCAGAGGTTGCCAGACGCCTCCCGGAGCTCAAATGAGACAGTTTGACGGGGTGGTATTGGCCAATGCACCTTGCAATGCCAGCTCTTACAGTTTCATTTTTAACTTTGTTTTGGTTTTATTTCCTTTGGGGGCCACACCCAGTTGTGCAACAGAATCACACCTGGCTCTGTGTTCAGGGATCACAGCTTGCAGACATGCTTGAGAGACACATCTGCAGTTCTGGGGATAAAGCCGGAGTCAGACGCGTGCAAGGCAAGTGCCTTACCCACTGTACTATCTCTCTGGCCCCTCATTTCTTTATTTTTAATTTTGATCGCCGTCAGACTCTCATGCTCTATTTAATTCCTGGATTGCGAGTGAAGGGAAGAGATGGAAGTCTATTCTTCTGCTCCCCTCTCTCCAATTTTTAGTGAATGAAAATCATCTGTCATTCCTGGTTTTGTGCTCTTGCTGGGTGCAGTCATAACTATAGGTGCAGGGAGGTGTGGGGTTGATGAGAGTAAGAGGTGGAGGGCCACAGGACATCAAATACATTTTGGTTTGGCAGGGGGGAAGCTCCCTCTAGCGGCTACAAGTCTGCAGGGGGGGGTACTGATTTGTCTAGAACAAGAGGCTATGTTTCTCAATAGGGAAACTTTATAGAAGTCCCTTCAGTATCTCTTGCTAACTTAAGTGATAATAAAATCCCTTAAACTTTGTTTTCATGTAAAGCTCTTTACCACTCGTTCAATTCTAAGTGATAAGCCAGTAAGGTAGAATATTCTTGATGGAAACCCCTTTCTCTTCACATTTTAAATAGAACATGGTGCTCCCTTCTAGTCTAAATTGTGTTTGCCCCAAAAGATGCAGTTTTATAAGGCTTTCCTTGGATATGATTTTTTTCTCTAGCTGCTTTTAGAATTCTCTATCCTTAAAACACTACTTTTAATAAACATAAGACGGCAATTTTATCTTGCCTGTTTGGGTTGGTTTTGTTTGTAACTCTTTAAGCTTCCTGGGGCTCAACGCCTGTCCTCTTTCCTAATACCTGGGGGATGTGGGGTTGATAAGAGTAAGAAGTGGTATTATTAGAAAGAACTCAAGAGCCTGATAGGTCCTAGAAAGTATCGTGTAAATATCATGGAACACTAAGCAAAAATTCATACAAGAAGTTAAAAAGGGAAGTCAAATATACTTTAGTTTCCCTCCTGTTTTTTGGCCATGGGGTGTAGGGGGGCAACACCCTACAGTGCTCAGGGCTTACTACTAGCAGTGCTTAAAACCTGGGTCAGACACATGCAAGGCATACGCCCTACCAATGCCTTTAATAAACATAAAATACTCCAATAGGGAGGAACTGAAACAAACACAACCCAAACAACAAACTGGCAATAAATATTTATACTTCAACAACTGTCTAACTGTTAAAGGTCTGAACCCACCAATCAAAGTGAGAGAATGACTGGAAAGATTATAAAAGACAATTCAACCTTTTGCTGCCTAGAGGAACTACATCTATCTCTAAAGACAAATACAGGTTCACGTTAAATGGAAGACAAGACTATAAGCAAACTGAAAGCTAAAAAGACAAGGACAGCCCTACATATAGCAAATAAAACAGACTTCCAGTAAAAAAAAAAAGAAAAGAAAAAAAGAGTACTGGATATTCTAATAACTAAGAGCTTAACACAATAGGAAAAAGAAACACTTATTAGCATACACTTATTATCATACAAATGATGAAACATAAAAATTAAGTGAGACAATTTACGGGAGACATTGACAGAAACATAGTAATAGTGGAGGACTTCTACTCTACTGACAACAATGGTCAGAGAGAGAATAAACAAGGAAATGAGAGCTCACAGCTATGGACTAGACCAGATGGGCTTCACAGACATTTA